TTTGGTAGATAACGATGAATATTGGAAAAAAAATTGACGATAAAATCTGCACAAATTTACTGGTATGCACGTCAATCTCAAATATCTATGTATATTTAATAATTTTCATTAGACTGTAATGTCAAAAAATGTTCCAATATTCACCGTTATCTACCAAAATCAATCAAATTTACGGTTGAAGGATTGATTCCCTATTATTTTTATTTTTCATACGTATACACGTAAATTTGGCATATCTATGTATATTCAGTAATATTCATTTGTCGTTCACGATGAATATTGTTGAATATACATGGATATTTCGGATTTACATGCATACCATTGAATTTCTAAGTTATTACTTGATGCGTGCGGATATAAAAGATGAAAAAAATGATTTTTCCCCCTAGGTTCTTACTCACACAACAACGGCAAAAGCAGTAGCCGAACGACAAAAAAGCACAGTGGATAAAATTAAAACTGAAAATGGAAATTTTTCCGAAACATTGAGCATACACAAAGCGCCACACAAAATGAAGAGAGAGAGAGAAAGATACACAAGAAGACAGAGAGAAGGTGATCCGAACGGAACCAAAATCGAAGTGAATGGAGAATCTGCAAATGGATTTGCCATTTTATTTCAACACAATACAACTTCGAATGCATACGGGTTTTCTTGTGGTTAGTTTTATTTTCGAATCCTCCTTAAATAAGTATTGAAAATGACTGCATGTTGTTGAACAAGCAAATGTGTTCGGTGGTTTTTCTCGATTTCCATCTCAAAAGAAGATGGTAAAAATGAAAAGTGCTTTTTATCCGCCCACAATGTCTTTTTCTTTTTCCCCAGCGCGTTTTCATTTTGGTCAAAAATCTATTACTACTCGCTCGATATTATATTGTGTGGTTGTTGGCATTTGAAATGAATTTCTACTGTGCACAAACGATGTCGGCCATAAATCCACACTCGATTCAATTTGACTGCAATTGTTTACTGTATAGTGTTGATAATGACGATACAAATGCAGACGATTTCATTTCATGTCATTTCGTCTATTTTTTTTTCTTCTCTCTCTTTATCTGCGTTGTTTTAATGGCATATTAGAAACGGAAAAGCATTTTCAGCCGGTCGTCTGACTGAAATGAAAACTGTATACCGATTCAAACAGGCGAACGAGATACAGAGGGATAGGAAGAGGCTCACAGTCGAAATTGAAATACCAAAAATTAAAACCAACATTTACAAAATGCGGTGCGAATGTGCACAAAGAGGCAAAAGACGAAACAATAACATTTTTCGGACGAAAAATAATAATAATGAAAAGTATGGAATCCGGGCGAGATAAAACCAATACACACGCATACACAAAAAGCTTTGAACGTTATGGAATCGTGTTGGTCAGGGGAAGCGCATAATTTTACAGTTTCTCCAAAGAAATCTTTAATATCACCAAAAATTTCTTATTATTTCCAACCGATTTTTACAAAAAAGTCGTTACGACTCCTTTTCCTGCATCTCTTTCGTGCCTCGAAATTCGATCAATGGAATGCAAGCATGTAATGTGATCGCAAATGCAAAAGCTTTTTCTTACCGTATTCGCTTAAATCTTTGCTTTTTGTTTGTTCCATTTGATTGTTTGCCTCAAATTCACGCTAGATCTAAAGATTTTGTGTGTGTCTGTGGTTGGGTTTAACGGGTATTCAGATACCAAAGAATAATAATAAAACGAGCAAAAGAAAACCAAGTGCCAAAACAATAATGATGGTGGTATACAATTGTGTGCACACATACAACAAGAGCGAGAGAGAGAGAGAGAGAGAGAGAGAAAGAGCAGCAGCAATCCGATGGCAATACCCGAATCGTGGCTTGCATTTGGTATTGAATACCAAAAAAAATACACACACGAGATAGTCGAAAGAGAGCAAAATACACGGAACAGAGAGAAAAACGTATCTTGAACCAAATAGAAAAATCTTATGAGCTGGCAGACTTCCAAAACCGATTTGCTTTTAATCTTTTTCTTTTCTGCTTTTCCTCTCTCTTCATTCTGATTCCTTTATTCCGAAGCGCAAGAGAGAATTGGTGCTTCTTTGGTCTTGCCTCACATTGTGTGGAGTGTTTCATTTGTTGGTTTTGCAATGATATTTGGTGCAAGTACATCATGAGCACAAGCCACCCAAAATAAAATCAACCCGAATAACTCACGTCTCTCCTTCTCGATGGGTTGGGAGTCCTGGTTTCGGCTGGAGGGAGGTGATTGGTTTATTTTATCGAATGATGTTTGCTCTTTTCAACCAATTACCAGACCAGCTACACTATCAATAACGATCAAAAATAACAATTTCCTCGTATAAAAGTCATCGAATCGAAATATTTTTTCTTCTTGTCAGAACATTCCATTAGACAAAATGGAGCTAGCAAACCTGACACCCGAACTTTTTTTTTTATTTGTTCGCTTCAAAACGAAACAAAACGCCGCCGATGCTGCTCATTTTTATTTCTTCTTTTAATTTTCTATTTCTGTGTCAACCTTTCAGCGTGCATGGTCTTATGCACTTTCAATATGGGGAAAAAAAAATTCTACTCATTTCTTGACCAATTTGTTCCAATGACGCACACTATAAATATAAATGTGTATCGCTTCATATCAAATCGATATAGTCATCGAGTTATGCCTATGTGACACAAAATGCTAAGACTAACAATACAATTATAGTAAAAGGAACGGAAAGAGTGGGAGAGAAAACAACGAAAATTAACTTCGGGTGAGAATGATCGCAACCGAAAGAGACAAGCAAACAAAAATATTGCAATTTTGATATAGCTCACGGTTTCATTTATGTTGAAACTTCATGTATTTCCTTATGCTGTTTGTTTGTTTTTGTTCTCTTCTGCAAGCGCAAGGCTTCAAGTGTGTGATTTTTCTGCCTGGTCATATCTTTTCCGTTTAAAATGATGTCTACATGTTTTTATCTGCGGTTTAGATTCGGTAAGAGAGTCCACCTCTCTGAGTGAGAACGAGAGAGCAAGAGAGTATGAGTGTATACATTCTGTGCATGGCAAATGGACTTTCAAAATACATTATATCTTGGTTTCTGTAGCATCTCAGGGATTTTTGGCTACACTTCTAACTTGAAATAACAACAACAAGAACAACAATTGCCAAAAAAAAAATGCGAGCAAGAAAAAAAAAACAATTCGAAACCGAAAAGTTTTCTTTTTTCCCGTTCATCTACAAAAACCATAATATTTGCTAGTATTTAACACGACTGACCAGATCGCATCGTCTGATTCGGGTTGCAAACCATATGACACAGCAGCGAGAATGAAAGGAGCAAGACAAAAAAAAAATGCGCACTCACTTGCACTCGCACACAATTCGACGGTTATTACATATCGACAGTGGACAAAAATTGAAGTGGAAGCAAGCACTCAAAACGACAACGAAAATAAGAACGAAAAATTGTCCGTAAGAATAAATTTTTTTCGTTCAGTGTTTTTATCTCTCTCCCACTTTCTGGCTCTCTGAAAACTACACAGCGCAAATAAAGCGCAAATCCATAAAAGGAAGATAATCACAATAAAACGAGAAAAATTTAAGGAAATTGATCTAAATCTATACTCTCTGATGGTTTCTACTTTTGGTTTTCCACCATATTTCTTCTCTCACAGTGTGAGACTCACACACACACACACACATTCTCTCTCTCTTTCTCTATCTTTCGTTTTTATTTTGGCTGCAATTTTCGTTTTCTACTTCCTGTCGTTGCTAGTAATCTTGTTCGCATCGTCTTCTATACGTCAACGTGCTCATTTACACACATAAGTTTTCTGGGTGGGCCAGCGCTCGACACTTCTTATCGTGTAATAATAATCGAATGCGTTAGTTGCTTGAGCTTGTTGAGCGTGTATTTGTTTGTGTGTGTGTGTGTGTGTGCGGACTACGTACAAGAAAAATTACTCTATTTATTTTCGGAACGCGTTTTGGTAAATATAGCACACGAAATGCGATATGCTTTTAGCCAGCGCATAAAACGCATTTCGCATATCGTGGAAATAAGCATTTTTCGCCTATCACAAACTTGGATCAATTGTGAACAGACATCGGATCAATATGATGATAACATTTTTATAAGCACACGGCACAGTCTCTCCACGGTGAACCAACAAAATCATCAGTAGCTACAACAAGATAGGAAAAAAAAAGAAGAGATGAATAGAGAAGAAGAAAACAACGAAAAGAAGAAAAGATAATTTAATGTTACCTGTGTGCGCTATGTCCAACGCGGAAAAGTTTCAACAATTTATATCAACATGAACTAACTCACTGCACTTAATACCTTTTTATAAAGAGAAGAGAGAGAGAGAGAAAAAAAGTAGCAGCATTTCCCTTGTGTAATAACACGGCATCATTTGACTCTCATCTTTAACATTCTAACTTACGTGTGTAGAATGATGTGCTCCCCAGCTCAATGGCTGCAGATGATTCCCAGTTTTAGTGTGTCGTTTATTTGGACACGGTTGCTGTTAAATGAGATTTAGATAAAAACCTGTGGGATTTCGCTTGCATAGCGGCAAAGATGCGGAATGGAACTTCCAAGCGGCCATTATAAATGAAAATAAATTAAATTCGATTCACATCAAATTATCGACTGTGTTTTATCGGAATTAAAATCAATGATGGACGATGCAACTTGCTGGCATTGCTCAAAACAATGTGCTATCGTCGTTGTCGTTGTCGTCGTCGTTGTTTTAACCGATTTTTTTTTCTCGTTCGTTTGTTCGTCGAAAAGCCATTGAAATCGATGTGACATACTTGACTTGAAATAACTGCACTTTTAGTTGAGTTTTGGTGAAACCGGGTTGTTCAATGCCCAAAAGTTGCGTATGTGCATGAAATTTGATTGTCTCGAATGCGTTATAATTCTTTCGGTCTGTGAAAATCCGAATTTATAATGTTATTGTCGCTGTTCTAACCGAATCTGTTTTTTTTTTCTTCTTTTTTTTTCTTGTCTCTCTGCAGGTTTGCTGCGATTGCAACAAATTTACCAAGGATTACGGCCCGGCAACGAAACATTCCAGGTGGAAACGGTGAAACGAATCGCAAACGCAACCAATGCCATTGATTTTTTGAGGACACTCGAAGAGCTGAATCGTTGGTCCAAGAAGTTCATTGTTTTAGATTGTCCAACCGATATGGCCAAAGATATTGTAGTGTACCATGTACGTGATTTATCACTTGGTCGCCGTACATACCACTATTTGCTTTCGGGTCTGGTAAGTTCATCTCATATACACACTGTGAGAGCGCTATTCTTTATGTGGGCAAATTTTATATATCTATACATATTTCGTGCTTTCTTACGTGTCTTCCCTCCAAGATGTTCCTCTCATTATTGGGTTTGGCATTGCCCCTCGTTCCCGTTCCACTGCTTTTCGTCTCTATCTCTTTCTATATCTGTCCTGTGAAAAGTGCTTGTGCCTTTTTTGTGACTTTATTTCTTTGTATGATTATTATTATTACACCATCGACACGATTCACATTAGACACCATAACCAAGAATATAGATTCGTATGCATGGGTTGCTATGACTGTATAACATTTGTGGCTCTTCGTTGTTCAGCATCATACGGGCCATTCGTTTGTGTTGGTTGAAAAGTGATGCGAAAAACGAAGAGAAAATGGGCCATAGGGATGGGATGGGTGGTACGGTGGGAAAAGCTTTTGGCGCGATATTGGAAACGATTGAAAATAGAAGGCACATCGAGCAAGTATAATAAAAAGATTTTTCCCACTGATTGCCCATCCGGCCAATACGTGAAACGTGAATAAAGTATTCACCGAAAAAAAAATTCACGTGCCAAAAATTTCGAATTTTAGTTGGCATTTAACATGGTTTAGACATGATACGAAAAGAAGAAGAGCAAAAAAGAAAACAACCAGTCTCGGATGCCTCTTAATGGCTGTGTGCATTTTTCTAAGCGACTCATGGGAAGTGAATTAGAAGAGGTAGCAATAGCAACAGCAGCATGAAGAGAGAGAAAAAATCGGAAGCAGAACTAAAACACGAAATGGATAATACAAGCTATTTGACAATAATCGAATCGCCACCTATCCTACATTTTTTTCCTCTTAAATAATAAATAACAATAACAAGAGCAGAGATTGAGAGAGAGACGGAGAGAGAAAGAGAGAATGAAAAAAAAAATGTAAATCGCGTGTAGCCACAAAACCGTAAAAACCAAATACGATATAAATGACCACTTTTCTTACCATGACTTTTATATTACATTGGCATTCGTTCGTATTTTTACATTTTCTGTCCTATATCTCGTCGGTTTTATTTTGTTGTTGTTGTTGTTGTTGTTTGTGAGTGCGTGCACTCTCACCCGCGCCGGATGGAGAGCGAGATTCGTTGATGGGTAGCGATGAGCAGATTTTCCAATTGATAGGGCGTGCGTATTCATGCAAACAAACAAGTAACAATAAAAATAACAGGAATAACCAGCAACGACACAGGACTAATCAACCAAAAGCCATCCATGGTAACGAAAATCGAGATAAAAAGAACGAGAGAGGGAGAGAGAGAGAGAACCGAACGCAACAGAAGCAGAAAAAAAAGATAAATTCGACAAAAGAGAAAAGAAAGGAATTTAAATTCCATCGACGCACCAAAAACGTTTCATAGTCAATTTCGGCTGGATTTTTTTATGTTCGAAGTTCGCTTTAAAAAAATTTTTCTTCTCGCATAAATTAGGAAAATATACCGCTCGGAATCGATTGCTGGGTTCATCGAATCGATTGCCGAGAATGAGCTGTGAATATATCGAAGCGAGCGATGTTCGGGCAGGGTGAGATAGGTGGGGAATGGGTGACAGTATGGTTCTATCGAAACAGTGATGTGCGAAGAATGCCATGTTTCTGATGAAAATGAGAATTCAAAATCAGGCAAATCGTTCAAATTTCAAAAGAGAACCCCCGTATACTCTCCCACACACATACACCAGACACACACACACACAAAAAATGTCTATATATATATATATATATTTTAAGCAATAAATTATATTCCGATCATTTGAACAATTCAATCTCGGCCGATGTGAATTCGGTTTTGCCACAATTGAATTTTCTTCATTTTTTCCGCTTCAATTGAGAATGAGCACATTCAATGATTCAAATAAATTTTGTGATTTCGTGTGTACACTGCTGGTGCTGGTGCTGAGAATGTGAGCATTCGACTATCTCTCTCTCTTCCTCACACATACACATGCATACGCTCCAATGCACGTAATAAGCATAACAAAATGGTAATGCATTTAACATTGTCTAAATTCCACTCAATTTTTTGCGCCTCGAATTATGGCCATTCATTAAAATACGAACGAGTTCAGAGTAGCCAGAGGTATTTTATCGGCGATCATTAAATAGGCTACATTTATTTGCCCATGTTTTGTGGTTGTTTCGCCTTTTTTTTTCCTCGGGTGTATATGTACATGTGAATGTATGTTGTTTTTATTCGCCGAGGCCAAAAGTATGCGTCGATTAGCGAATTTTGCGAAAGGAGAAAGAGAGAGACGGATGGACGGACGGACGGAGGGACGGCGGAAGGGGTGGCATGTGAATGCACATTCATTTTATTTTAATATGTCTCGCTGTTGAATATTTATTGTTGAATGGCGACAATGTAGTTTTTGGCGCCGACAACCCTTTCATTTGGCCATTGCAATTCAACAATTTATACACGGAATATGCATTACACAACTATCATTTGCTTTCAAATGCCGTGTATCTCTCTCTCTCTCTGTCTCTTTCTCTCTCTCTTGCTCACTCTGTGTGTGTGTGTATGTGTCACAGTCAAGAGTCGCAATTGAGAATGTACAGAGTTGATTTTAATTCGCAGAAATGATAAATTAGCATGAATTTCATTATTGTCGTCGGGTCGCCTGGCAAATCGTCCCCTGATTCATTTGAACGTTTGTGGAAATCATCACATGCTCATAATTAATATTGAACAAACGGTGTAATTGCAACTAATTCAACTATATGTGGTAACACAACTCACACACAAAACACATACATATACGTATATCGACTGTATAAGGAAGCATTTCACCGCATAAAATGCAATTTGCCGAGATTTTTGGCCATTGGAAAATCGCATGAGTGCATCGATGATGTTCAGCTTGCTCATAGAGTGTGTTTGCATTTATGAGTGTGTACCATTTTCAATGGGAACCTTCTGTTCGTTTCCGCTTAAATTCGATATTTCGTTTGAGCAATATTTATGCGTTCAATCAATACTATTTGCTGTATGAGATAATAGAGAGTGTCAAGAAGAATGTCGGCGTACGGAAAAACGGAACGGAAAAGATTTGCAGCAGCAGCAGCAACCGCAGAGAGTGAGTTATACTACGACCAAAATATATTAATATTTGATTTATGTTATGGAATATTGTGTAACACAGTATACGGCCAAAAATGCTCATGTGACCAAAACATGGCCAGAAAAAAAAGAAGAATTACCCAACAAAAATAACAGAGACATGCATACGCAGTGCGAATATATATATCTTTCTTCCACGCTGATTTTCACTCTCTATCTCTCCAGTTTTCCTTTAACGTTGGCTCCCCTTTACTTCTATTGCTCACCGCTTTTTTTGTTGTATGCATTTCAGCTTTTTTCCTGTCACAAACTGAAAATAAACTCAATATTTTTCGTTTCGTTCATTTTAGGTGATGGATGACCGATGGGAATCCGAAATAACTGAGTACGGTGCCATTAATATAACTGGTTTTCGTATTGTCGATACCGATCGTCGAAATGTTCGTGAATTTTTGGACGGTTGGAAGCGATTGGATCCGAGTACATCGATTGGTGCTGGCAAGGAATCGATTACGGTATGGAATAAAATAGAGAGAGAGAGAGAGAAGAAAAATAAAAACAACTTTTCTCAATAGTATTAGAATATCTTGTGCTTTTTGGTCATTGTGCTTAGTTTGTCAATTTTTTTTTTATTCATCATTCCGATATCCGGCAATTCCATTTTAAATCGTACATTTCTCATCGACACTCGATCGAACAGTAAACATTAACTTTTATTCTTGGGGGAAACACTTCCACATTTGGACAACGAATTTTTCAAAACAGTGCACATTTTCAAAATAAAACGATGAAAATATTTTGGAATGTGTAATTCATCTTATTGCGACCTTTTTTGACGGGAAACAATGAAGTGACTATATGCTATGAACCATACATGCGATGTCATTGCATTAAAGGCTAGGGGCTTCCATGTATATTCCATCCAAGAAATATACACCATAGATGACAGTCATACGAAATATTCACAATACTGGCAAAATATGCACCATATTCACGGAATATACACGATATTCATGAAATATACACCTCATATTCACGATCGGTAACAAAGATTCGACATTGCCGTAAACACATATTTTTTACATGCTGTGTATATTCTGTGAATATGGTGAATAATATACACGGATTATATGCAATATTCACGAAATATTCACACAAATACGAATGTATATTTTGACTTAAAAGCCCCTAGATTAAAGGAGTATTTTGATTTGTTATATTGTCCTTTTTTGTCGTTTGTACTTCTAGTCTACGTCCAACGTTTGTTTAGTTATGAACAAATGTTACCAAAATTAGAGACTTTTACTTAACCCATAAACAAAATCATGTTGATTGTTTGTAGATTTGTGAGTTTCGCTTTTTTTTATAATGAAAATGGGACAAATTTGAATTTTGACTCAATTTCTAAGCATTTTAACTCCAAAGTTAATCAAGTTTATTTCCTTCTAACGCTGAATAACAAAAATGCATCATAAAAACACGAGTTAAAACTATTAAAAATATGAAAGACATTTCGATGTTCCGATTTACAGTGGAATTGCGGTAGCGTTTCCCAAATTACAATGTCAATGTACACATATCGGTATATCTGTGTATACGATATTTCGCCGAAGTCGTTCATTGTACAGATATGGTTTTGGATTTATGCTATTCATCGAAGAAGCAGCACATTCTGGTGTTTGTTATGTGCACTGGGAGCAAAAGTGTGAGTCCCAAGAGTGCATTTCATCTGATGATCTGTTTGCTCTTGAAGACTCATTTTATTTACACTGTATATGTGTTTGTATATCTGTCTCGCTCCTCTCCAGGAGCGTCGCTCACAACGGTGATTTGATTTTACTTGACAAACGATATACATATTTTCGATGCATTTAATTAAAATCGAGTGTACTTTTGTGTTATTTATATGTGGTATATTGCATTCTCTCTGTCTGTCTCTCTGTGGTAGTTTGTAGCACTAAATGGTTTGATCATCTAAATTGTGTATCTAAATGTATGTGTTTGATTTTGCAGGCGCAAGCTGCATTGATGTATGATGCTGTTTTCGTGCTTGTCGAAGCATTCAATAAATTGTTGAAAAAGAAACCCGACCAATTTCGAAGCTACACGATGCGACGCAGTAGTTCACAGCATACCTACACCAATTCATCGTATGGAAATTTGATTGCAAACGGACAAAATATCCGAGTGTTGGACTGTAATACAGCCAAGGGTTGGATCAATCCGTGGGAACATGGTGATAAAATATCGAGATATTTGCGAAAGGTAAGAGAATTGAGTCAATGTCCAGAAAATTTCAAACAGAAACCAGGTAGACCACATCACACAAACATCTTCGTTTCAAATGTCACAAAAAGTACCAGATATACAGTTGAGTTTAGCTAGCAAATCGAATGGCAGTGCATTTACAACGGATTCAACGATTCCATTTTTGACCTTATGCGAATGTTATTAATATATTTTGCCATATTTTTCTTCTATTTCGTTCGTTACCAACAGTCGACAAGCACAATCGTTGGGGCTTTGTATACATAAACATGCTCTCTCTCTCTCTCTCTCTCTCTCTCTCTCTCTCTCTCTCTCTAACTCGGTGTGCCACGAGTTCAGTCCTCACGGTGACTCACGTCAGGGTGAGATTTCTTACGGGTCAACACTCACATACCTATTATTATCGAGAGAATGGGAGTGAGAGAGAGAATATAATCTAACGAATGAATTTTCCAAAAGGCTGTATTTTTTGAACTTACGACTCTTGTCCGCTCTCGAGAGAAGCGGATCGAGATAAGAAAAATACAAATTACATAGTGTAGCTGTGGCATGAGTGTGAAAAAATGCCGCTGCTGCTGCAGCCGCATGTGTTTGTGTGTTTGTGTATGTGAGAACCGTCTACGTATTCCATTTCCATTTAATTTCTTCATAAAGAAGGAGATTATTTTGTTTTTATGTTTTTATGGGTTAATGGTCAAAAGGTTTAATAAAGACGAGTCAAAGCGAGAGAAAGAACGAGTGAGTGAGTGCGGGCAAAAGCCCGTGTGCGAATGCTTTTAAAAATAAAATTCTTCGCACAGAAATTTTATGGCTCTCATCGTGCTTTTTTCTCTCTCTCTCTTCTTCATTTTCGCCCTCTTTCCCTCATTCTTTCTAGCTCTATCTCACTCGTTTGCTTTGCAACCATCGACGAATTGGTTGAAACAAAGAAAGAAATATAAATGGAAACAAACGGAACCAAATCCAGTTTTTAAAAAAAAATCGAGCTCAGCAGCAAAGTTGGCACGATAAATTTTGATTATGTATTTGGTTTTTCGCACTTTGCACAAATGCTACAATGGAAGTTTTGTGTGTCGGCGAGGGTACGAGTGAGAGAGTGCTCGTCAACCGAAATCTCCGGCAAGTTAGGAAAAATCCTTGTCGAAAAAAAAACGAACAAACGAACGAGCTCGTAAAATACTTCTCTTCATTCGGTCGCATATTCAACTAATTCTCAGTGAAGGGATTAAACAATGGGAAATGCCATCATTTGAATTCTATTTTTTTCACTCACTTACTCTCTCTCCGCATCCTCCTCGGTGGCGGACAAAAGCTGTAGCGAGAAAAAAGAAAGTTTCGAAAGCAAATTGAATGTTCCGTTCTGCCGAATTGCCGGATTCCAGTGATATGAACAATATAACATGGCGGCAAACGATTATAAATGAAACAAATCGCCTCTTTTCATTTCAGTTCGCATAAAGATCTACTTCGTTACCTTTGTTGGCATTTTCATTCGATTCATCCATTAAAGAGTGTGTGCGCGCGGTCGCATGTATTCATGCGTTTTATTTGAAGCTAAGAAGCATTTGATGGCGTCAAAGAATCTACACTTTCAAACAAAATGCTACCCTTGTTTTGCATGCAAAGAAAAGAATAACAGTCATAATAAGAACTGAAGAAAATAATCGTTCTTTCCGGAATCATGCGAAAAATTAGTTGAATGTGTTGGAGATCACGTTTGTAAATTGGTAAGCAAAATGACTGAAAACTCTAGGCCAAAAACGATTTTCCTATTCACATAGGTAACCAAATACAATATAAGGGCCCGAATGAAGTTCGGCGATTGAGAGACTCCACTGTATGGTGAACACTTTTAACGGTCATGTTGTTTTGAACAAACGCATGCATATGGCAAAGGATCGGTTTTCATATTTGCCCATTGCTTATGGCAAAGTAATAAATAGTCTACACGATGAAGTTCCAAATAAATATCTCTTCCGCTCATCCAAGCGTATTTATGCATTATTTGCGCATTTGTTTCATCAAAAATATGTGTGCCTGTGTGCCTGTATGTGTGTGAGTGTGTGTATCGAAAAGTGTATGCATTAAATGTTTTGCTGGGCTTGGCTTTGGTGGATCGCTTATCAAATCGCATATTGTGAGACAGGGCCATCACCTCGTACAATTTCAAAGTAGAGAATATTTCGGACGGTGAGTGTGTGTCGTTTTATCCTCATGTGGTCAGGAATTTATATTGCAACACACACACACACAAATTCCGAATCGTCTGACAATTTATTTATAAGAATACCGATTCGATATTCACATAAAACACCCAAAGTGTATATATATATACCGAAAATCTGCATATTTAAAAACAACACATTCAACCGATACCGATACACAGCAGCATCGAATGCAGCAATAGAAGCCAGTAACGGCAAAGAGCAAAAGGAAAATGGAGATGCGGAGAGTAAGCGAAAGAGTGAGATAACAAGAGGGAGCTGGCGTGAGAGAATCGAAGCTGAATCGGTCGTTTCAATAGAATCTCTCGAGTGCGATGCTTTTGAACATCATTTGTGATAGAAAAATCATCGAATGAACATTGCATGTTTCTGGTTATGTTGTTCCAGTTGGGTTTTTTTTTTTAATTTATTTTATGAATTTTCCATTAGACCAAAGATTTCACCATATGCATGCGGTTCAATTTTGCATACATGACCGAAATGGAAAATGTATGCGATTCAATGCTTCTCAAAATTCCAAAGATCGTCTCTCCCTTTCTGCATCACACTCTATTTGTCTACGCTTTCCCTTATTCTATAACGGCGGCGTTGGTGATGGTGGTGGTGGTGGTGTTGTTATTCATTCCTATTTAAAATGTTAAATCTACAAAATGAAACCATAAAGCTTTTTCTATATTTCCAATTTTTCGCATTCATATGGCAAAGAAAAATGCCATTTAATGGTTTAAATCAACGGATATTCCAGTTGGCATGCAACCAAATAAAAGACACAAATATTGTTAATTTTTGCTATAACAACCATTCTGAATCGCTGACACTTATTGCATTGACTTTTCATCGTACATGCACATTGCGACATTGCATAGTCTCCAACTTCGATATTGAATGCAGTGCGAACGAACCGAACGAACCGAACGAACCGAACGAACCGAACGAACCGACAAAAATCGAGTGAACGAACAAAAAAAAAAGCGAACGAACAAAGAAAAAAGAAAAAAGAAACACGAATACATAGTGTCGATGATGAAATCGCCAATGGCCATTGAACAATGAAAAACTATTTCCACTAGAAATAGATAAAAACCAATTTATTTGGACATTTAATTTTTCTGCTGTTGTCCGTTTGTTTGCTTGTTTTGTTTGTTGCTGTTGCCGTTAATTGTGCATGAATATTCATCACAAAGGCATTTTCTTTTGTGTTATATTTTCCTTTTATTGCCTCCGATTCCATTCATTGCGAATCAATTAGGTGTTGAAAAATAACAAATGGCGTTTTTATCTGAATTGATTGCGACCAAATTGGTTTCGGTTCAATTTAATTGGCCAACAAACACGCACGTTCACTCACACTCATCCACGTAAACCCACATTCATACAAATAATATAATTGAAATGACACAAATAACATCCAATAACAAAAGTAAATCGAATTTTGGAAGCATTAAGAGCAACAAATTAGATGATTACATTTGAGTTGGTCGAAATAATTTGGTGCCGACATAAAATGAATGGAGTGAGACATAGAGAGAAATGTTTGCGTTTTGTACGGGCAAGTGTTCACACTTTGTGTCTCTCTTGATGTGAATTGATTCGGAGAACCGTTTGGTCTACGATCAACAGGGATATGGTGCGACAGACAAATATAATATTTGAATTTGAGAGCACGAACACACACACACACATCCCATAAAAAGCAATCGCAAAAGCGAAAGATAAAGTTTTATATAAATCTTTCAACATTTATTACTTGATGTTGAATTGGCATGGTGCTGCCAGAGCATTTGATACTCTCTATTCTCTATACCATACCACCATCGTTACATTCACACATGTCAGCCGGGCAGCGGGAGCTTCTTGCCGAGACTGGCTGATGGTGGTGATGGTGATGGTGGTGGCGGCGGTATGTGTACAGAAGAGTGGTGCAAAAATTTTATCTAAAAAGTTTTTATGAGCACCTCATCTATGTCTAGCAAAACGAATGAATTTTCGGACAACAAGAAATGGAGAAACATTGGAACCAAACCTTTAACATATCACTAAATTATCCAAACGAAACGCTTTTGTGCATTGAATCCCACAGATCTGTCTGTATCCGTATGTGTATGTGTGTGTTGTCTCAATGCGAGCACTTATGGTGGCTGTCAAATACTTTTCTTTTTTTCATCTGGGTGCAGTGTTAACGATTTGCTGCTTTTTCCTCTGGTTTGTTTGTTTGATTTTTTTTTTTTTTGCTATCGAGACTTTGTATTGAATATGTGTTTGTTTTTTTTTTCGTTCTGTGTGACCACGCGATAAACGGCATTACCAGCTAATACGGTCTTTTGTATAATCTTTTACTGCTTTTTGTGTACGCTTTTCACACTACTGCCATCGTTTTCAATAGAGCAGAAACTTTACTGATATCACTGAATTGATTTCAAATATTCATGTTGAAGACATGCACAATATTATATTACGCTCTCTATCTCTCTCTCTCTCTCTCTCCATTTCTCTCTCTGTGCGTTTTTTTCCTTTCTTTTTCTACTTCTTTATGTTCAATGCTTTTTTTGTTGTTGGTCGACGTATTATTTCATTCAGTAGCCGCGCTTTGTCTGTACGTAGCCACCGAGTGTATGAATATATATATATATATATATATGAATGGTGGTCATACGACAAACACACAACGAGAAAGCAAGATAGTCGCACAACAATAGTGTCATTCTGTCATATTGAAAAAGTTATTGAAAATAAATACACAAATTCAAATATAAATAGAATTCTACTGCAATAAACTATGTCATCGTTATGTGATAGTGTTGCAACTGCTGCGACCATGCAGTGAATTTGAATTGCGTTTTTGCGTTGTGCAAACAAGCAACGACTACGACAAAACGTCCAGAATGACGACGACGATGTCGACCACGACGACAATGACGCAAAGAGAGAGAGAGAGAGAGAGAGAGAGAGAGAAAGAGAGAGAGAATGAACAACACGAACGCATCAGGAATGCAAAAATCAGAAAAAATAAAATAGAGCGAAAAATTGTTGTTTTTGTTCGCAATGAACGGCAATATAAATTGAAAATGATAACAGAGAGCCAAAGCGTCGAAAAGCATTATCCGTATGGATTAGACCAGACCATAGTAGCGGAAAATTTTAGTTGAGCCGGAAATATAGCCGGAATTCAAGCAAACGGCAACATTTTCATATCGCCACCCATCATATCCCATGTGCGGTATATCTCTCTCTATATTCCAATCGCTCTCACTGAACAGTTCCGAAACAATTAGACAGTATTTTCCACGTGAAAGCATGACAGCAAACCCGGTGCATCCCGAAAGCGTTTCAATAATTTTGACGCATCAAAAAATATAATCGCAAAATTGCTATTCGGTATGTCAAAATGCACACGTGTGTACGGATTCTTTTCATATGGTCATTCTCTTTTAGTTATTATATCTCGATCACGTTGAGAACACCGAATGCTTTAGATAAACCAGCCGTTTTTTCAAAGAGTCATTATCTTATGCCATTTTAAGCAGACTTTGAATTCGCTCAACTCATACCATTGATTTTGATGGAATTATCTCAGGATCATGTTCGGCCGGAATTTTATGTGTGTGTGTGTGTTTTTTTTCCTTTGAGTATCTGAAAAATGCTGACCGTAGCATACATACACGCTCATCGGCCGATGCAATCCGAAAACTAGACGACTAAAAAAAGGTGTAAGAATAAGTGAGTGTGGTGTTGGCTCTCGCGTGCTATCACATGCACACCCAAAGGAGCTTGAATTATTGACTCTTCAAACTGAATATAAATTAAACTGGACACTCGAGCACATAATGTCAACAGATGGCACAATTAATTGGTTGAAAAGCTTTATAAATATGTACAATATGAACCGAAAAAGAACATACTACATCGGTATGGAACGGTAGAGGAAGCAGCACCTGAGCATCCGTTCTCTATCGATGGTGTTGAGTGTGAAGTTGGGCTGAAGTGTGAGTGAAATATCAAGAGGGAAAGAAAGAGAGAGAGAGTGAGATAAAACCTGAGAGCATAGCATATTGCTGAGCCTTTGTTTTTAATTAAATTCGTTTCACTTTGGTTCTTGTCTCTTTGTTTTTTAACTCTTTGCCTTTCTCTTTCCATGTGTGTTGATCCGATGCTTCCGGTGGCAGGTTGAAATCGAAGGTCTTACCGGTGACATACGCTTTAATGAAGATGGTCGTCGTACGAACTACACGCTAAACGTTGTGGAAATGTCATCAAATAGTGATATGGTGAAAGTGGGCGAATGGTCAGATGTATTTCGGTTCAGAGCCATGTCGAATCGTCAAGATCGGGTAATGCCTCGCAATGATTTCGAACGCAATCGCACCTACATAGTGACAACGATTATCGAAGAACCGTACATTATACCGAAAAAAGTGAAATTCGATCCAAACGATCCAAGTATCGAAGAGAAGGATAAATACGAAGGTTATTGCAAAGATCTAGCCGATATTTTGGCCAAACGACTCGGTATCAAATGTAAGTATACTAACCGTTTTTGTAACCATTTTTTTTCTTCTTTGGTGTGTAAACATATCCATTTCTTGGTATGGTCCACCAACAAACGTGACAAAAAAATAGACGAAATTTATTGTATTACATATTGCACCAATAAATATTGCAATGCCACATCGGAATATATATGCGATAAGAGCCAAACGACAGAAATGTCCAGCCAATATTCATAATTCATTTAAATGGGCTTTGATTGGTGCATTAAATTTAATACGATGTTTTTTTTTCGTTTGCGACAAAAAAATTATTTTTTTATTTTATTGGTGTTGACTTCGTCTTTTCACATCGTTTTTTTTCCTACCCATTTTCAATTCCTCTTTCACTGTCTCTTTCGGCCAGATGCATTGCGAATTGTGAAAGACAGGAAGTATGGCGCTAAAAATGCTGATGAAGTCGGCGGCTGGGATGGAATGGTTGGTGAACTGGTGCGACGGGTATGTCTTGATCAAATATTACATGAATTTCTGAATATAAATTGATCCGCATAAAAATTGGAGCAAAACTATTATTACATTTGATCGAAAACTTTTTTTTTTATTCAAATCGATGTCGATATTTTTTTTTCTACGTTGTGGCAGAGAAGAAAAAAAAAATCCCATATTTTTTTGTTGTAATATCAGCCGAGAGGAAAGGAAAAAAAAATTATGAAAACTGTATGATAAATGAAATTTATTTGACTGCTGCAATGTTGATAAGAAATTCGTTTACTGTAAAATTCATTAATCGTATTAAGTTCTTGCTGACCTCTGCACAAATTTTAGAGCTGACCGATTTCAACGGATTGTTGAACCATGTACCAACCGACACTCATACTTCGTTTCGCATGTGATAATCGAGTTTGCAGAATAAGATTATATCATAAATGCGCATTTTCACACACACACATCGCCCAAAGTGTGAAAATTCATTTTCAATTTTATTTTTAATCTTCTTTGCATGTGGCAATAGTTTTAAGATAAACATATAAAACAATTCATCCGAAATACAAAAAAAAACAGAGTCTCTGTGCTGGTAGAGTACAACACCAAAGTTGCAAATAGAAAATAGGAAATTATTAGGTACGATGTGTGTGTGTGTGTGTGTGTGTGTACACGTTGGCGCATTAAAATCTCGTTTTCGTGCTCCAGTTAATGGGAATACTTCGTCGATTACGTTGAAATTTTCTCTCTCTCTGCGTGAAGGTAGAAAAGAAAGTAAAGTTATCCCAATAAATTTTATTATACCGAGTTGAAAGGAATTGGCAATAGATTCTTGGTGCTGTTGTTGGTTCGAAGCGTATATTAAACACAAGTTATACTGGGGAGAAGAATGAGAGAATGAGTTAGAGAAAAAAAAGAGAGTAAAAATGCTTAGAATAATTGCGTTGCGAGCCCATTGCATTTGCGGGTAAACAACGCAACGAGACAAAAACGCCTTTGATAAATGGGAAAAAGAAAGACTTGCATACGAAAATCACAAAGACCAAACGCAAAGTAGAGAGAGAGAGAGAGAAAGCAAGACAGCGAGTGAATTGAAAAATGAATGAACGAGCGAAAAAAAGAAGCGATTTCGCACACAGGAAATCTGTGTGGCCTTCTCCACTTTGTCTGCAACGTATGCATTCGCCAATATCCAGAGTGATGTACAATGCGTGCGTATATGTGTGTGAGCACAACGGACACCACGAAAATCTTCACACACACACACACACACAGTGCGAGAATGCCCCGGTACCCAGCTACAGCCAAACAGTATGTGTGTTTGTGGACTGTGAATGTGCGGCACATAGAAAATGAAGATCACAGCCCTCGGAAAATTCACAACGGCACTTAAATCGTACGACATAAATGGCATCAACTTCATTCGTTTTGCTTGGTTTTATTTCATGCACACACAGCATGAAATATTCGCTTCGATGCAGCAAATGCAAATTAAAATGAATTTTTCGTCGCGTAAACTTTGGCTTTCGCCAGTACATCTTTTCATGTGTTGTGGTGCTGGAGCGCTAGCAAGCAAGCAGGATCGAACGAACCAGCGACGGAGACTGACTCGATTCAAGAAAATCTTCTCGGATTGAACTGAACCGCTTTTTGTATAAGTGTTTGAGTGCTGGTGTGTGTGTGTGTGTGTGTGTGTGTGTGTCTGGATATTATGCATTTTGTGCATCCGTTGTGTACACAGTCAATGACGAAACTTGTTCAAGTCAACAATTCGAAGTGTGTTAAAAACATACTCGAATCGTTCGAGCATACATGCATCGCAAGATAGAGAAAAAAGAATTCAGCGAGTGTGAGAAGGAGAGAAATGCCCGACATACCAAATCGTACGTCCCGTATAATTTATCTGCAACGACTTTTATTTTTCTTTTAATTTCATTTTTATTGAATGCATAAATTTTATTAGAATCTTTTTTTTCGGTACTCACCGCCACCACCGTCGCTACCATGGTCTTCGTTGCGCTTTTTTTCCTTTATATGCAGCCGAACGATTTCTTTCTCTAGCTAAGTGCGGTCTATCCATCCAATTCGGCTTTTCGTTTCATTCCGATTCGTTTCATGACGATTTGGGTCTACTATTTTTCTGCTTACTTCGTTACTGTGCGTTTTCCATTTCATGGGCCGGAGTATGTGTGAGAAAAAGAGCCAAAGAGTGAGAGAGAGAGAGAGTGAGAGAGAAAGAGCTGAGCTTTTTCAAGCTGATAAAACAATCGAATCTTTAAAAAAAAAAAAAAATATTGTGTTTTCTTTTCACTTCACTTTATCCCGTAATACTTTGCTTCACCATCTCATGGTATGCATATACACGGACACTGACTTAACCAGCACAGGCTACATAATCCTGTCTCATCGTATCATCCATTTTACTTTATCCCGAATGGTTTCTCACCCCATACCACTTTTGACTTTTTGCCACAATCAACCCAACTTCATGGGCCCAACCGAAGAGTTTACTCGAGAATGCACCGAAAAAAAAATTACACTGTGTTCATTGTTTGAATGAATTTCGATCCGATATGAAGATAAATTGGATTGATTTGACGGCTTTTTTCGGAGGAGAGCAGAGAGAGAAAGAGAGAGAGAGAGAGTCAGTTCAATTATGTATGAAAAGATGAAGGAATTTTATACGTTACTTTGTCCGAGCAAAACCGGGCAAGTGAGCGAGTGAGTGAGAGATTTGAGAATTTTATTAATAAATTAAATGAATTTTTGAATTTGTGGTTCTGGAAATATGGTTTATCCCGTTTGAAAAATGAAATAAGCAAATTAAAATTATGCATGGGTCGCCAGTTTCTTTCCCAATTTTCCTCTTAAACTTCGTACACACAAAAAGTGTTTTTATGACGAAATGTAGTGCATTGGACACAGTCGGTTATTTCGAAGATGATGTCGTCGTCTTCGTTGTCGTTGATTCTGCTGTGGCAGCGACAGTCAAAGTTGGGTTCGAAGAAGCCAAAATAGATACGGACGAGGTAGATCTAGTTAAACGGATGTATGTGACACCCCGATATGCTCACATCTTTCCATTTAATTCCTTTGGTCGTTATTTATATGCGTGTGTGTATTGCATGTGATTCCACATAAAGATGGAGAGACCGAGAAAGACTGGCCTGCATGGCAATCCACACCGATGGATCCACCGACAAACCGAGCGGAATGCCATGCCTTGTGTATGTGTGTGTGTGTGCCATACGAATGGTATATTACCATCGGAATATGTATATTGTAATTAAGTAAAAATTCGTTTAAACGTGAAAGTGACAACGAACATTTATCTTGAATCGTATGCGCAAATTTATTTACGCTTTTCCACTTGACTTTTCCAAATGTCATTTCCATTTTGCGCTTTTTCCCACGTTTCTTTCTGTTATTTCGCTTTTTGCTTTGTTTTGTTTTTGTTCGGTTCTCTTTCATCTTTTTTCGGCTTCGTTGTAAATTATTTTTTTCCCTCCACACTCATCATCCTCCTGGTTTTTTTCACTTTGATTTTTCTTCGTTCACCCTCTGTGTACATTTGTTGTTTTTCTTTTTTTTTGTTCGTTGTAAAAGTCGGTTGATTTTTTGCCACCTTTTCTATTTGGCAGTTTGCTGTGCTACATTCGGTAGTTCGGTGTCTCGCTCACTGTGTGAATGTGTGCAAACCTGTTATGGGAACGGTATAAATTGTTCGTCGTTTGGGTCCGTATAATTAATGTGATCGATAAATTTTTATTGAAACTCCAACTAGTGGAAGCGGTTCTCTTTTCGCTTCGTGGCCCCGTGCTTTGGCGTTCGACAATGAGAGCAATCGAATCGTTGTGTATTTCGATAAAACTTTCTTTATGCAGCCAGCATTTTTTTTTTGCGCTCATTTTATTGTCGAGGTGCTACTTATGCGAGGCACACAAACGAAGAGATGAAACGTCTCCCCTCCAGCAATTTTGACTCCCGTTTGAAAACGATTTTCTATCAAAATGCTGCTGTGGCCCGCACTTATGTTTGTACATTTCATTTTCAATTTTAACTCACGGACAACTCGCAAATTACAATTTGAATCGGAAACGACACACCAACTAGTAAAATTAAGAATGAAATACCAAGCGTGCGTGGCAGCCAAATGGAACGGTAGTGGCGGGAAAAAAAGCCCGAAGTGAAAAAAACACCCGAAAGAAATAAGAAGCAGTATCGAAATAAGAAAGTTCATTATTTCAAGTTGACTGCTCGCGGTGTCCCTTTTTTCGTTTTCAACACCTTTTGCTTACGTTGGTAAATGTTGCGTTCATTTTTTTTCTGATTCACCGTCGTCGTTTTTTTTCGTGCTCGCAAAGCAATACGTTTCCAGTATACGAATAGAGCCTGGGATCGTCATTTTGATATACATTTTTTTCACTGTTCTCTCGGTCGCCTCAACGAAATTCGTTTTCGCTTGATGTGACGGACTGATTTTAACCTTTTGTCTAGCAAAATGTGTGTATGTGCTCTTGTGTTTATCTTTCCGTTGCTATTTCAGGCATGATCTACACGATCCACGTGCCTGATTTTTGTGGTGTGACGGCGGTATCTTTTGTTTCGTTGTACACTCGCGATTTCATCATTTTCATATGGATTTTTGGGCCGGTTGGTGTATTTTGTTTTCTTTCTTGCTTTCTTTTGTCATTCAACAACAAGGGGAGAGACATCAACGCTAGTTTCACTAATTTATTCAATTTTTTTCCTAATATATGCTATTTTTGCTAGTTTCCCTCAATAAAAGTGCTATTTTTTGCTAAAATTTTCTATGTGCAACGTGACAATTTGACAGTTCATGTACAAGTTCCATTCATCAAGTTATTGTTGTTTGCTTGCAAAGAAAGCATAAAATTATATTTTGGTAATTTTTCTAATCTTATTTCATAGAAAAGAACCAATCGTTCCATTTAATTTCATAAAATAACTCGAAAACTTTGTTCTATACGGTTAAAAACAGTAAA